TGGCCGGGATTAGAGTGGTAGATGTCGTCTGAGGAGTGTTTGGATAAGCCAAGGAATCTGTTGCTGGGATCAGTGGGTCTCCTGTCGTAGCTCCATCATAGCCGTTGCACCACCCACTCGATCCGTCGGCCATATATATCGCATTTCTCTGCACCGTTGCGTCAGCCCATCTCTGTCACCTCGTTGGTCGCCGTTCAGCTCACCTTGCTCGCCGATCCATTCCACCGTCCATTCCAAGCTTGCCGGCCCATTCCGCCATCTCCATAGCCGAGCACACCGCCGTCTGTGTTTCGAGCACACAGTCGTCCACAGTTCACTGCCGAGCCCCCTTGAGCTCATCGCCGCCTCCACAGTTCACGGCCGAGTTAACCGACCTCTCATCACAGCCCCTTGAGCCATCCCGCCAACCTCAAATTTCTGTGCTCTCTTCTCTCTCTCTCTCTCTAGCTCTCTGTTTTGGGTTATGTTCGGTGAAAAACATCTTTAGGCAGAAAAAAATATATATATAAGAAGTGTATAAGTTAAAACGACACAGTGTGTTATAAGGGTAAACTGGTCTTTCAAAATTTTCGGTGCCGGAAGCTAATGTCATGGGGGTAAATTGCAACAAAATCATAGTTCAGAGGGGTAAATTGCAACAAAATCATAGTTCAGGGGAGTTTTTTTGTAGTTTAGGGGGGTTTCTTGCAAATGACCAATAGTTCAAGGGGGTAAATTGCAACAAAATTATAGTTCAGTGGGGTTTTTTGTAGTTCAGGAGGGTTTCTTGCAAATAACCAATAGTTCAAGGGGGTTTAATGCACTTTACCTTTAATTCAATAATATTATATTAATATTAGTTCAATAATATAAATTAATAAGTAAAACGATAATAATAAAATAGGTAAGAAAGTGTTAGCTTAGAAATTTCACATAATTATAGAAATATATAAAGTACAATATTCATATAGAATGATTCAAGATAATGAACACCACCAATGAATAATCTAATAATGATTCTTTCATTAAACTGAATAATACATCATTTAAACAATATGGATATAACGATGAACATGAATTTAACAAGATAAATAATTAATTTAGTAATATTAGTTCAATAATATAAATTAAGAAGTAAAACGATAATAATAAAATAAGTAAGAAAGTACTAGCCTGATTGTTGAGGCATGTGTAAACACATTAACCTAAAGTTGATAATCCTCCCCTTCGTGCGGGTATTGGAGAAACTAGTCAGCTTCAAGATACAACCCAATCAATTTGCAGTGGCGTCTCCTCTATGTATACGAACATAGGAAAACTAGGTCCAAGTCTATTCGTGTCTCGTTACTCATAAACTCAATATATGAAATAGTATATAATAAAAGATAGAATACTTCTATAAGAGTTTCACCCATTCATATATCATCACTCATATATACTCGTATATACAAATATTAGAAAGATGGAAAGAATATACATGGTAAGAGTATATATCTATCTATATTTTAGATCAATCCCTCTATCTCTCAAACTAGTGGATGCTTTATATAAATAATATGTAACCGCTAAGGTAATATAATGATAATTTACTTTTGAAATAATAACTCTCATAAAGATAATTTAACTACTATAATAATATTCATCATTATACATATAATAAATAATTATATTAAATATTATTTACGTTTTTATTAAAATATCTATAATAGTCCCCACGTATTTTAATAAAAATAAGTAGAATATAATTGAGCAACTTTATACTATGCAATTGGTGTAGGTGTTTGCTAGGTTTGAACCTACACTTAGTGTGATAGTCTCTATTTGAGGAACCTGAATGAACTAAGTCTTGAATTCGGTCCCTTGAGCCAAACTTTAACATACCATATGCATAGTATTGACGATAGACTTGGTTTAGCGGGTTAGCACGATAAATGGCCATGCGCTGGTATCTTGATTCTCATGAAAGCTCTAGAGAACAGCCCAACTTCCTCGGTCGGGGCCTCACGACGACTTTCACTTAGGTGAATCCTCCAAGGATATATGTGACCTATATCCTGTGAGAGTATGCTCGCCTCGAATTCATTTAGGGCAAAGCCCTTCCTTAGGGTCACATCACAACACGGATGCCATAGGGATGTGCAGGAAAGAATCTGCTCGAAAAACCTCCTAAAAAGAATGTTGTCAATGAGTCATGCAGTGCAGATTGTTTCTACCCATTGAATCTTTCGTCATGTGATTAAATCGCCAATCAAAAGGTTGGGTTACTTCAGTAGGTGACTCCCTTGGGGTGCCCATTCCCCTCAACATATTTAGGACTGTGTCCTAATACGACACTTGGTCTTTTGTAATTTTTTTTTTTTTTCCCCTTCACAACCCAACTCTTGGATTTTTTGTCATTTTTATTTCTTCACCCCACCACCTCCTTCTTTTTCTCTCTCATTTTTTTTCATCATCATTTTTTTTTTCTTTTTCTCCACAAAATAATTCATCACTAATAATACCTCATTGGAAAGATATTGAGATGAATACTATTGATAGGTTTGTTAATTCTATCTTAATAGAATGTTAGTACGCATATGCTATTGTTGCAAGATTGCAATGTTGGAAGTGATATAAGAGAGAATGCAAGCGCGCACACACACCACACATCGAATGAGAGAACGGGGACATTTGTCTTCTTCTATCACCAAATTTTTTTTTTTTCTATATATCATAGAATGGTTATGTCGTCTTCTATCACCAATTTTTTTTTCTTTTTAGCTTGGAAAAGAATTATTCAGCCATCAAGCGCCCAGTGCTGATATTCTCTTCCTTTTTTTCTTCTATGATTCGTCTCCATCTTTAAGGCTCCAGATTTGAGCAATCGAAGACTCTTATCTTCTATGTTTCATTATGTCCTTGGTATTTCCTTCATTCAGCAACTCAGCAAGATTATACCTCATGACACACAAACAAAAGCTAATATTTAAATTCATTAAAAACTGGTAACCTTTTATAACAGTCATAATTGGTATTAAAAATACAATGCTAAGATTTATAAATATTGCCAAAACTGAAAGTCATATTTACTTCCATAAAATTCTCTTTCCTGGCTTTGAATACATTATTCATATATATATATATATATATATATATATAAATGCATCAAATATAATGAATGATGTAAGCGTTTTAATCTTGTTAAATATTAGATAATTACTCAGCAGTTAATTAAAATAATAATAACAAGAATAATTAGCTAAACATAAAGAACTTTCATAGGATAACTCAGAATCCATATTAAGAGTTCTCATGTAACAGTGTGAAATTATTAACCGTACAATTAAGTAATTCAACATTGAAAGCATATGTAATGAACATTATGCAAAGAGTTTAAATATAATTAATTAAATAATTACTACTATAATATTTACAGCCCCTTATACTACTGCAGTTGGTAGGAAGTTACCAAAATTTCAGAAACATGAATGAAATTCAATTTAATGCTGCTATAACGGATTCTAGAGACTTTCCCCCCAAAAGAATATTAGATAGGTAACAAATGAGTCCTGCTATTTCACCCGATTTAAAAAAAACCAACAATATACCGACGTGTATGTTAGTGTGTGGACTACTTTGAGACAAAAGCTTACGATTTTTTATTTTATTTGTGTTTTTTTAATTCTCCACCAAAATCACGATGCCTATGATTTTCCACCAAAGCAATTGCATCTCTCCCATTCCCGGCGAAACTAGGTCAAAGTCACATCCTTTCTATCAAAATCGTGGGTTCATCGCCAAAGTTGTCATCAATCCCTTACTCGATTTCAACATCCCAAGGATTGATACACCGGAAAGCCGTGATACTGCAATAACAACAATTTTCCGACCGGCCATCAAGTCATCAACGTTTTGAGTAACAGAGTAGTAACAACAATTTTCCCACCGGCCATCAACGTTTTGGGTAACAGAGTAGTCTGAAGGTTGGTTAGCAGAGGTTTGAAGATTTTGCAGATTTGCTATGGAGAGAGAGAGTGTGGGAGTAAGATCTCTGAATTTGGTTAAGGCTAATAATAATTCCTTCAGGGTCTGCATTTGGAACCAAAAAATAAAAAATAAAAAAATACTTTCTCAACAGGTAATACAAAGACGAGATCGGGGACAAAATCAAAATCAGAAGTACAAACAAAAGAAGTGAGATATATAAGATAGATAGGGGAGGATTTTGCCGAGGAGTAAGAGAGAAGGGCGGGATAGTGCATATCTTTCTACAGAAGAGGAGGAGTTGTCCTATTTTAAGATAGCCACCTGTTCGATCGGTTTTTTTCGACTAAAATAAGTCGTTCAAAATATCATTTTCCGTAACAAATATATACCAATGTGCAAATACAATTAAGAGCTTCCAAATATAAAAAGATAGCATACCCAACAATCATATCATTTTTCCTTTCTTGTAATAATAATATGGTAGTTGCTAATTACTCACGCACCAAACAGTTGACGCATATTAAAAAGTCAATAAAAAATTATAATTCATCCTTTAACTATATTTGATTTGTAATAAAGAAAAAGTGTTCATTTATTATTAATCTTATATCAGCTACGACTTAAGTATTATCCGAAATATCATGAACAAAACATGGTACTTCTTGAACACTTTAGCATTAGATGCAATAATGATTTGTTTTTAAATTTCGATAATATAGCAACTTTTCTGCAACTACTATATTATAGATAATGCAAATTACCAAATTTTTTCCTTTAATTTTCTGTGTTTGTCATTGTCATATTTGTTGGTGATGGTGTTTTGTTTTGGGTAACTGCCATGCCGACATTGAGCCATTTTGTCCTTGGCCCAGACTCACGGCAATGGCACAACCAGTCCATTAAATGTCTCCGACTGGCTTGTGGGGTTGCTTATGAGCCCAGCCCAACTTCTTGCTTTGATCCAACATTTCAGGCCAATGCGGTGGGATTTCATGGGCCAAAATATCTCTGACCTAATTGATGAGATATTCATCATCTTAAAAAATAATAATAAAAAAAAATAAAAAGTCAAAGATATTCATCATCTTCCTCTGTCTGTCGATGAGGAATATTCCAAACTCTGACGAATTGAAGATCACATTTTCTCCATTCAGAGCCCTAATTTTCCAATGACTTAACATGGTGAAATCCCCATTTCATACATGGCTACAGCTGTTCAAGGATTTGTCGGTAGAACCCACCTCATTTCCCGTGGCCCTCTCATTTACTGTGCGCGCAAGGTTTTCTCTTTCTTTCTTTGATCTTATAATCACCAAAACTTGTTACTTTATATATATGTATACGTATATATATAATATAAATTAGCTTTCTTTGCTCCGTTCTCTTGGCAACCAAACGGATGGTTGAAATGGGTTTGGAGGATTTGAACTCTGTTTGTCGCTGCAGGTTCGACATAGAAGCTCTGTTGCAGCTGTTGAATCTCCTGTTCAATCAGTCGATGTTGTCAAAGAAAAAGCTCAACAGAAAACAACATCGAATGAAAAGAGTTAGTCTAACAATTTTTTTTTTTATTTTTTATTTTTTATTTTAAATTTTTAATATTAACTCACACGCCCGCTATGGCTATTGAACTCTCGGACATTCTACTTTATAAGTTGAGGAAATGCCTCTATGCTACAGTTCTAGATGGTTCAATTTTGGAAAGTTATATGTATTGTAATTTGGCATTACAATTGTGTTGTGATGAAGTAGGTAATGATGATTGCAAGGCACCTGAATGGAAGAAGTTGAGTTCGAAAGATCTCGGAATAAGGACGTCAATGATTGGGAAGCCCACGAAATTGGTTTTAAATGGGCTGAGGAAAAGGGGTGTGTATGTATTTATTTATATACAATGAGCTGATATTGTTTTTTGATGAACTTCTATAAGAGTACTTAAGCAAATTATGTAATAATGATCAATAATTAATATAAATTTACCATGATAAAAATTCGGTCCAATTGATGCCATAACAATACTCTATTTCAATATTTGACATTGATGCTTTATTTGTCCCTGCAAAGGCATGGTAATTGAGTGAATTTGAAATTGGTTGCTTTTTTATCTCAAATGGATGGCTTTATGGAATGCTAACTTGTGTATCACACAGCTCTATTTCAATATATATATATATATTTTTGTTATTATTTTTTATTTCTATTTTTTTTTTTCTTCGTCTGAAAGTGATTCAATTGTAGGGTATGAGGTCTATCTTGTCGGAGGATGTGTGCGGGATCTTATCCTAAAGAGAACTCCCAAAGATTTTGATATCATAACTTCAGCTGAGCTTAAAGAGGTTTTGCTTTGTTTACACATATTATTTTTAGTTTAGACTCTTGTGAGCTTCATTTGAGTGTCAATTCCGGTACGATACGTGCCAATCATCTCTTTAAGTACGTATTATTTTTAATGTACGAGCATGTTGTGATTATTATTTTGTCTTGTCCTTCCTTCCTTTATCAATTTCCCTACCTTATTATAATCTAGTAGTTTACATCTCTAAAAGCTTTTGCTCTAAAATCCTCACATAGAAAAGCCGAAAACTATTTCATCCATCTTATGTTGTTGAGTCTTTCTGAGCAAACTGAATAGAAGAATAATGCATAAGTCATTTATTTATTTATTTATGCTCTTTTAGCTGTTTAGGAGGACCCACTTTAAAAGCTCCAAAGAGGCCATGCTGCTCAGTTGATGTGAGGTTTTTGTTTCCTTGATTTCAAATAATGAAGAATGAATTTTTTATTCTCTATTTTCCCATCTTTTCTAGGCAAGAAAGAGGAATTTTGAACTTCTTTGCAAATCCTTGCTTTCTAAGCTTGGTTGCAACGAGTTGTCGTGAATATTACTAACTTGTTGACTGTTGCAAGCAAAGCATCACTCCCTCACTTTCAATATTCTTGTTCTATTAGCTTTTATTCAGTTGTCTCAGAGTGTTTTTAGTTTCAATTATTTGGAAGTAAAAATGCTTATACTTTTGTTTCAATATGTGATGGCTAAGATATGTTTGCCTAGTGGTGTTTCAGTCGTATTTTCCTTTCTCACCCGGCTTTTTTAATTTTTTTTTTTTAAAAACTAAAGTTGTATTTGCACTCCTCAAAATACTTACAATCCACTTGATTTGTTAACTAAGGAATGATATAATTTCCCCTCAAAACTGTAGTGTAAGAGAACTTTTTGCAATAATTTTGGAGTGTAAGAATGCTTTAGAAGGACGGTTGCATCATAGCCTTTTAAAAGTACAAGTGGAGTGTGATAGACGAGTCCTTTTTGGGAGTGCAAATACAGTCTTTTTTTTTTTTCCCCCTTATTATCATGTATTACATAATATTGTGCCCTTCAAATGACACTTGAATCCTCAAAATAAATGAAAAGACGTGGGAAATATATATGCAGAAGGCATCCAATGCTTGAGAATTTAAGTTAATAGCACATAATTTTCAATTTTTATTTATTTTTTTTTAAAGAATAGGTATATAACATTTTACACATTTCATGTGAAAAGAAAATATTGAAGTAGTATATTTTGTGCCTCAATTGCCCAATAACTTAAACTACTTATCCAGTAGAACATAGAAAAAAATATTTATTTTTGGTTGAAGTTAAAATTTATCCTCCCTATCCTTGATGTTACAATATAACATTTCGTGTAAGGCTGTCTTGTATACACTCCAACATTTCATTTAAGTCTGTCTAGTATATTGACTCCAGCATGTTGCTTGAATTAAGTAATTTTCATTAGCCTCCACTTCAAAGAACTTACAAAGAATAACCTAATACTTAGAAAACCTCAGCTTGGACTTCTTGAGTCCCTCTTTGCGAACTGATAGTGCGCTGTCTAATTCATGTTTGGTGGCATTGGTTTTAGATTTTGTTGCATCATGATAGATTCACTTAATACGACCTGTAACTCATTCGCTTCAACTTGTTCAGTCATTTGCTTAAAACTTGTTGAGTCATTTGCTTAAACATGTTCAATCATTTGCAGGTACTGAAAACGTTTCCTGGATGTGAAATAGTTGGAAAACGGTTCCCCATATGCCATGTGCACGTAGATGAAACCATTGTGGAGGTTTGTTGGGTTGCTTATTTACATATTGCCTTTTTATTATTTTTTTATTATTTTTATTTTTATTAAATAAATTTTCTATGCACATTATTACTTTTCAGCACAAGCTATTTCTCTAGCTTGGTGCAATGGTAAAAGCTCATGTCGTCAAACATAAGAACACATCGTTTGGTGCATATAATGCCAAAGATTAGTTTTCTGTCCAGTTTATCCCTCTTAGAATCCACACATTGGGGGGACTGGCACTCTGTGCTATTTTTTTCCATATGTGTAATTAACTTTTCAATCAAATAAAGGTTTCTTTAGCAAGAGCAATATATTAGAGTTGATATTTTCTTGTCCCTCGTATTTAAACTTTGTTATTTTGTGATATAGGTATCAAGCTTTAGCACTCATGGAAGAAATACCAGTAGGAACCCAAATTATATAATCAGAAAACCTCCTGGTTGCACCGGACATGATTATGTTCGCTGGAGGAATTGCCTACAAAGGGACTTTACAATCAATGGGTAATCTACTCCACCCTTGTAATTAGAAGTAGGAAATTATTATAATTGTTTTATGCTGTTCTTCAATGCATTATATTATGCTATTAGTTTCTTTGAGTGCTTCATCACTGCAGATATAATTTATGTTACTACATCCCTTTTAACTTTCTGTTATCTTTGCAGGTTAATGTTTGATCCCTTTAAAAGGACAGTGTACGACTATACGGGTGGAATTGAAGATATTAGAAAAGCTAAAGTGTGCATGTATCTGTTTACAGTTTCATATTCAAGAATTACTTTAGACTTATTGAGTTCATGCAGTCCTCACTTTTTGGATTGTTTATTTATAGGTACGAAGTGTAATTCCTGCAAGTGCTTCTTTTATGGAGGATTGTGGTGAGTATGCTTGTTTGGTTGTGCTTATTGTTGTTGCTATTGTCGACGCCGTCGTTATTTTTTATGTTAATAAGGTAGTTAGCTTATCAAGATAAGTTTATTAATTGATTCTGTTCGGTTCTTCACAGCTCGCATTTTACGTGGGGTGAGAATTGCAGCACGTTTAGGGTTTCGTTTCTCTAGAGAAACAGCTCAATCAATAAAAACATTATCTTGCTCTGTATTAAGGCTTGACAAGGTGACAAAATATATATATTCCCAGTCGTATAAATGCAGCAAATTTTATATATTTATTATTATTATTATTATTATTATTATTATTTATTTTTTTTATCATATATGCTTTCTTGCAAGTTCCATCTTCTCTTGTTTTTGACTGCACAGGGAAGGATTCTCATGGAAATGAATTATATGCTGGCATATGGGTCTGCAGAAGCTTCTTTGAGATTATTATGGAAATTTGGACTCCTAGAGATACTACTACCGATCCAGGTATTAGGTTTTTCCTTATTGTTGACACCTATGTTTTTATTACTCTTAATTTTTCTTTCAGATCATGTAATATAGCTGTATCATGCAGGCAGCATATTTTGTTTCTCAAGGTTTTCGGAGGCGTGATAAGAGATCTAACATGCTTTTGGTAAGTGCAAATACTTATTCACTATGTTTTTCAGCATTCATGGCTTGCTTCTTGTGGTTTACTAAGTCGAACCGACTAGCAAGTTGTATCATACTTAATTTATTTGGGTTTGTTGTTTCTGCAGTCTTTGTTTTCAAGGCTGGATAGACTTCTGGCACCTGACCGCCCCTGCCATTGTAGCTTATGGTAAGGAAGTTTGTCAGCTTGTGGAATTTGTTAACTCTGCAAAATTTGTTATCCAATTCTTTTTAAGTGAAACTACTGCATGTGAAAATTTCAAGCTGCAACATACTGTCCAGGTTCTGATATGACATTAGTTACAACTTCCTACACTTGATCACATCAATGAAGAGGGATTTTTAATGATTCTATACAGACCTGCATTCTAATATTATCACAATCATCATCATCATCATCCTTGCCTTAATCCCATATGAGTGGGGTTGGCCACATGAATTCTCTCTCTACAAGCTTTTCTATTACATGCCAATTCACCTACTATGTTTAATTTTCTAAAATCACTCTTAGTAACCTCATCCCATGTCATTTTTGGCCACCCTCTCTGTCTCTTACCTTCTATTACAGCTACTCTTCCTCGTTTGATCGACGCGTCACTAGGTCTTCGATGCATATGTCCAAATCATCTAAGTCTAGTCTCCCGAATTCTCACCAATGGGTGCTTCACCTAATTTTTCTCTCATACTCTCGTTTGTGACCCTATCTCTTTTAGTCACTCCACTCGACCATCTTAACCTTCGCATTTCCGCTACATGAAGGCATTGTTTTTGTTTCTTTTTCAGGTTCCAACTCTCCATACAACATAGTAGGTCTAATAATGGTAAATTTTCCTTTTAGCCTATGCGTTATTCTTTTATCACATAAAATCCCATTAGCTTTCCTCCATTTTGTCCAACCAGGTCCAATTCTTTTAGTTACATCTCTATCTATCTCTCCATCCTTTTGTATTCTTGATCCTAGATATTGAAAGTGGTTGTTTTGAGTAAAGCCTTTGGTTTTGATGTGCTATCATTATATTATCAACATCCGAATCTTTATTAAATTTACACACCATATACTCGGTTTTAGTTTGACTAATTCTCAAATCATTTCGATTCTAAAGCATTTCTCCACAATTTCTAGTTTTATTGCTAAGTTCTCTTTAGAGATATCCAAAAGCACGATATCATCAACAAATATCATGCACCATGGAATCTCGTATTGAAATTCTTTTATTATTTCATCTAAAATTATTGAGATTAGAGATGGATCTAGCATTGGTCCTTGGTGCAACCCTACGTTTCTGATGTATTGCACCATATCTTAATTGGTCTTCTTATTTGTAATTGCCATATCAATAGGTGTTGAGGGGGGGGGGGGGGGGGGGGGGTGGTTTGGAATTGGTATTCAATATGAATATGAATCCCTTGTTAGGTAATAATAGATGTAAAAAGATTACATATGGTGGGTGTGAAATGAAGCTAATAATGAAGATTCTGTTACAAAGTCAAAGGTTGACCTTATTTGACGTGGATGTATGTGGTGAGATTCAAATACATCCTTCGGGTTGAATGCCTTTTTTATTTTCTTTTGGCTTTGGGGTGTGGGGTTTAAGAATACACGCACAAATATCCCAATCAACCCATTTTTTTCTAGTTCTTTACGGGCCAATAATTGTCCTATTATAAATCACAGCTTTTAAAGCATAAATCACAGCTGTAAAAGCTGTTATGGTTTCAGTAACTTCCATTAAATGCTGTTACAATTCGTGACATGCCGTTCCAGCACCAGAACAATAGGTTCAACAGGTGAGGTTTATAAACTTCGTTTCTGCCACTTCTTTTAATCTTTTATTTTCACAATTGTAGCTTTTCAAACAATTGAAAATACACCTTAATACTAGATAATTATTATTTAAAGTACTACATAAAAATCATAACCCCATCCCCTCCCCTCTTCCACACCACCCCCGCAACCCAAAAAAAATAAAAATAAAAACCCCAACCCAACCCTCCTAAATACTAAAAATTTATGTCATGTTTTCTCGTAATAAAATGTATCAAAAAATAACCTGAACTATTGAAAGCCATGCCAAAGCATTACCCTACCATTGGTTTGGTGTTAAAAACAAATGGTAAGAGTATCACATCGCACCTATATCCTCATTATTTAAGTTTAAAGACGAAAATGCCCTTTCTAAAGACAAAACTATCCCCAACTGGAAATACAATAACTCATCTTCATGTCGTGCAATAGAGCTTCTCAAGCTACATGTACATTGGGATCACAAAGTCACAAGCGTGTTTGTTGGACCTACAGCACCAACCCATGCGTTGTCCACTTCCCTCTTCTACTGTGACAAGCACATTTTATACCACTATATATATATTTACCCCTTTCTCTAGAACAACTCTCACTCTCTATGTCCCACAGATTCAAAGTCTCAATCTCATCGTCGAAACCCTCCAAAAACTTATACGCCACTGTACTGTATATACCCGCTGAGATCTTTTCCAAATCAACAACTTAATCTCTTTTCTTTTTATTTTATTCTTGGTTTTGTATGATTGCGGGTGTTGTTGATCATGAGACTAAATGTACATGGAATGTATTTTTGTAAAGAAATTGATAAATGATGAGAGGGAGAGAGAAATTGACAAAGAAAGCTACAAGGCAGAGAGATGATATATATATGGTGATGAGAGTGGTGGGGTTATTTCGCCTTTTTTATTTTTTTAAGGGTTAACAGCAAAAACGACTCCCTTTTCATTTTGGGGGGTAATAGGTCTTTTTTTTTCTTTTCTTTTTTTTAAAATGAAATAGGGCACAACATACATTTTGCATTAATGTTCAATGGTTTTGTCAAAAGCTGGACCGATGTGATCATTTTTCATGGTTGAAGGGCTTATATAACCTCACAAGGGGTTATTTGAAAAACATGTATAGTATAAGGGGTTTTATGATTTAACCCTAATAAATTAGTGTTTAATATATAAATTTATAAATCATAATTTATATAAACTGGAAAATAAGTAGAAGCTTAACAGATATTTAGATTACTAATCAGTAAAAAATAGTTACTAATTTAATAAGTAAATAACCTCACAAGGGGTTATTTGAAAAACATGTATAGTATAAGGGGTTTTATGATTTAACCCTAATAAATTAGTGTTTAATATATAAATTTATAAATCATAATTTATATAAACTGGAAAATAAGTAGAAGCTTAACAGATAGTTAGATTACCAATTAGTAAAAAATAGTTACTAATTTAATAAGTAAACATAGTGTTAGGTCAATATAACTTAGGTTGGCAATTTTCATGCACTCCAGGATAATTTTGTTGTTTCATTTATTAAAAGTTGGAGTGAAGTGCAAGTAGAGGAAAGCGGAGTGTGAATATCAATTCCCTTCGAACTGATATGTGATGTTTCTCTATATATCTGAACTCTTAATACCTGTATCTGGAAGCTAATTATAAGATTTTGTTTGTAGGGTTGGCATCCTAGCATTTCATAAAGCTCTAGTAGATCGACCCCGGGATCCTTTAGTGGTTGCTGCATTTACCATTGCTGTACACAGCGGATCTTTGTTTGAAGCAGTAGACATTGCGAGACGCATCTCACAACCACATGACATGAGCTTCCATGAATTATTGGAACACAGGACCATAGACTCGGATGATGATTTGATAACTGAGGTCATGGATCTTGCAGCATCGATAAATGATGCATTATATAAGATGACAGACGAGCATTTTGTTTCACAAGCAATGATGGAATACCCGCAAGCACCTCGCTCAGATCTGGTGAGGACTTGACCTTTAGTTAACTTCCTTTCTGGTTTACACGAGTGATTACTAAAACAATCATTAAGGATCTTGTGAAACAGTTTGTGGGTCCTATTTGACCACTTGGCAAACTTGTGCTCTGCATTTTATTACACACTAAAATTGTGATTAAACTGGTGCTCCGTCTATGGGGTAGGACCCCTCCCAATTTGTGCACCTCACTTTGAGCTATCTGCCACATTAAAATCATAAAATCATTCTTATTTCATTTACCTTCTATGTACAGAACTTTTACTCACTGATGTGGAAGAATTTGTTGTGTGTATTGAGATGTATGTGTTGGAATAATTCCTGATGACTTCAGAGAGTAAACCATTGGGTGTTGAACATGAACTACAAAAAGATGTATTTTATATGAACTGGACCCTATGGACTGTAGCAATCCCCTAGTTGCCACGACTTAATACCATTTATATGACACTGATGTATCTCGGATTTAGCCTTCTTTTCTGGGCCTTCTGTTTTAGCCTGGTAATCTTATGATATTCTCTTATTAAATATTATCTTGCTTTGATGGTGGTGATTCCACATTTGAATTCCATTTATTCCTTTTAGCTTCTTGGAATGCTCTAATGCACAACCCTGTTCTTTCTTTCATCTCACAGGTCTTTATATCATTTGCCTTGTCGTCTAGGGTGAACATGCTATTCGAGTGTGTTAGAAGGGGAAAGGTGAAAGGATTTGTACCCAAACGAGGGAGCAGGATCAATTACGAGTCTTTAGCATTGGGGAAACTGCAGGAAGTTCAACATCTGTTCGCAAGGATTATTTTTGACACAGTTTACCCTCCAAATCTGAAGAGGGAAAACAATTCTGTAGATGTAAGTTCTTCATAGTCTATTAATATTATGAGATGCAAAAGAGTTCTCTGTTTTTATGTGATCCATTATCGCATGATCATTAGTGTTTTTTCTGTTTTTTGCCATATATTGTATGTACACACGTTGTTTGTTCAGATTTTGTTGGGTTTAAGATTGTGATACGACCCGTTGTCTAATATTAACGATGATATAATGCCTTCATGGTCTGAACCAAAGTCACATAAAGCGGAAGCAGGAGCGAGAGCGAATTCAGGAGTGGAAATATGTACACACACATTGGGTTTAAGATTGTGATTTGTCTAATATAAACAATGATATAATGCCTTCATGGTCTGAACCCAAGTCACATAAAGCGAAAGCGGGAGCGAGAGCGAGAGCGAATTCAAGAGTGGGAGCGTGAGAGCGGCATAATTAAGTCATAAGTAGTAAGAATTTGCTCTCGCGGAGTGTGAGAGAGAGAACGCACTCGGAACTTAAGAGCGACACCTGTTGAGAAGGATTGTGTGACTTGGGTCTGAACTAACACGGAGAGTAATAACCAAGACAACCACCTCTCTTTCTTATGACTTGTCTCTGGTCATTTTTCTTGTATTTGGAGTACAATTATGTATCACTCTGAGAACTTTCTTGTAAACCCAACCTACCAAATGCACTGGATTTTAGATTGGATATCTTTAATATGAGTATCTCTGAGATTCGGCGGTAAGCTTCCTCTGTCAAATGTCTGCCATCCCAGTGAATATATTGAGCTGGGTTAGGGCAAACTGGCACACCTTGTGATCCACACATCCTGTTCAGATCAAAGTTATATTGCTCTCCAGTTCCGCAACAAGCTCTTAACAACGTTTTTTGGTCAAAACCTGCATGTATATATACATATATCCATGCGAATACATCAGTAAATAATTTTGTAAGGTGGCTTCATTGTAACAGGTCAAGAGCTCAAATGAGAGAAGAGTCTCTCTGCATGTGGAGTTAATCCTTTATATAGGTGTGTCTGCTGTATTTAAGGCGGTCTGGGGAGGGTAAATGTATGTAGCTTTACCTCCACACTCTCTTTTTTAACTCTTGACTTGTAGGTTACAATGGAGTAACTTAACTAGTGACCTCAGCTTTATATATGTGTGTGTGTATAGTAGTTGTCTGGTTACATTGATATGTAGGAAATTGGAAAAGCTCACTGAGAAATGCTGCACGGCGAAGGACTGATTGGAAGGCAGCAAAGTGGTCGGAATAGAGTATGACAACCAGAGGAAATTCCGGCCTCAGCGAGTCTAGAGCTTCCTTGAGATAGTTGTTTTGAAACACTGCAAGCTCATTCAAACTGCTCAAGCACCCTAAATCGTCATAAGCGCCAGGATCACGACTAGAGAATGCTGTCAGGTAGAGAGGAAGGCATCCAATAGGAAATTTTCCAGGAACTACTACCCGTACAGCACCAAGGCGTATCACTTCCTACATTAGAAAAACTCATTTTAACAGAAATGTGTAGGATGGTTTATGAGAGGGAACAAAATTTTGCTTCAAAAGAATTGAAACCACAGCAAAGACAGAGAAGAGAGCTTACTCTAACAGCATCTATGGTGACCCCAACTATAAATGGTACATAGGATTGAATCTCTTTAATGGATTTGCCTTGAACAAGAGCATAATTGATGTCATTGCCTCCAATCTCACCCACCAAGACAAGGGCCCTCCTTAGCCTTCTTTCACATCCTGATAACAAGGATAGCATCATCTTCAGATTATATATATACATATATATATATATATACATCCATACACACATATATACCAACCTGCTGGTGTGTGGCAGATGGAGTTGAGGTTGGTTCTAAACCAATTTAACTGAACACTGAGGGGAGTATTGAGGGTTGGAACTCGGACTCTTGCATCAAAAGAAAGGAGTGTCCAATGCCGTACTTCCGGCGAAGGCAAAGTTGGCGCCATAATCAAACGAAGCATTCCTATCCAAATATGGATTAAGCAGTGGGAGGCGAAGAGCCACAGCTGTATGTAATTCATCAATGAATTTCGTGAGTTCTATTGTAAACGATCTACATGGCTTCAACACCTTATGAATTCATATTCAATATATCCATTTCTGTTTCTTTTTCTTTTGTTCTTTTTCAACTATTGCAAGATAGCTATGAACCTGTTTAGGGTTGCTACTAGTATTGTTGTCATAAAAATAAAATAAAATAAAATAACTCGGTGTTAAAAGCATGTTATGTTATCTTTTTGGTGATGCATTATATAAAATATTTTTTTTATAAGAGTTTAATTGCACTTGCCTTTCTTGTAGTTTGTTAAATAACAGGACTTTCTTCTAGTTTCAAATATAATATTGACCTTCTTTCTACTTCAAGTTTGAGTAATACTAACCTCGGTCATAAGTTCTAACACTCTTGTATGCTGATGTTATGCTAAATATTTATTAGAAATTCGAGAATGCCTTAAAAACCTTGAAAAATTTTATATAAAGAAACAACTATTTGCTTAAAGCAAACAATAAAAGTACAATGAGTGTAATAGTGATTTAATGCTTTTGGGTCAAAGTCAACGCTAACAGTAATAGCGTAGGTTAGTGTTATTTTTAAAATTTTAAGGGGCTCAATTATTTAGGTAATTTATAGGGGAGATAAATATAATTATTCCTTTTTATAATTAAAGTACTTTTTCAATTTGTTTTAAACCAATATTCTTTAAAGTAATTACTAATTTTATAATAAAACTATTTACTTTAATAGAGTATTCTTATATTTGATAAGAGTTGACATTGCAAAGAAGGGGTATTAAATTGTGTGGGGAAAGAAAAATATTGTGTAAGCGCTCGTTGCTGTTAGAATAAAAATATGTCAATAAAGTTATAAAAAAAAAATTGGTGTCAACAAAAGGCATGTTAGGTATTTGGGATACATTATATAAAGTATTTTTCACAATTTAAGTACTTTTTAATGTGTTTGGTAACAATATATTTTTTTTGAAATACTTCTATAGACTATAGCTAATTTTACAATAATGTAAATTAATAGAATGTTAGTGTATTTTAATTATGCTAACTTTATTAATGAATAAAAGATGATGAAATTGTCTTTATAAAACATAAAAATGGATTAAATTTTCTATGAAAAAAATTATCTAAACAATAAATCTTTGACTCAGAACATAGTTTTAAAAGTTTTTTTTTTTTTTTACTCCATTCAAAAGTTACGCTGAACTAAAATTGGTAACTATTAAAATTGCTATTAATAATTACTAAATTCATCCAAATGCAATTTTTTTTAAAAATAAAAACACTTTTAATTGGTTGAAAAGTAATTCCAAATCAAAATTTTAAAATAAGGTTGTGTGTTTTGGTGTATGGAATTGGCGAAAATTTTAGTTCAGTTTTATGAATGGCTTTTTTTCGATTCTAATTCTAAAATTTTAATTCCATACAATCGCATCGCACGGACGAATAAAAATATAAATATTGACAAGTAATTTCATCATATCTATACATGCATATAGTGCGAGTAAGCTATTGGAAGAACCACCATGCCTAATGCATTGTAATGTGTAATGTTTAAGCCACCAATACTTAAAACCTACCAGTGAAGTCTATGATAAGAAGGCCGTCGGAAAATCTGTCGGTGGGCCTACAGAAGAAGGTTTCACCGTAAGGCAGACGGGCAGCCGCTTGCGCTGCACCGATGGGGCCTAGGCGTATGAGATTGCCGGTGTCTGAGATTGAATCTCCAAACTGGTATATACATTCAAAGGGACATATCTTTTCTTGGGCAGTACAATTAAGTAGAAAGAGAGAGAGAGAGTTACAAGTAGAAAATGGAAAAATGGAGAGGTCTTTGTTGAATGCATTGCTTTTGCATGAAAAATGCATAGCACTTCAAATATATGTACGTGTGCGCGTGAGAGAGTCAGTGAGAGAAGGGGATGTGAGCTCATTGTTAAGGTCTGTTTGCCTTTTTTTCTTTTTCTTTTTCGTTAAATATGACTTCACCTTATCTCATTTATAGAAATCCACGCCCTACTTTTTATGCTTTTATTTTATATTCAGAATATAGAGTTATTTGGATTGTAACATCACTTTAGACCATCTCCAATATAAAATACTATTTTTATGTGTCAAAGTTATATTTTGAAAAATGTTAATATGTTACAGGGTCAGAATGTTATATTTTATCAATTATACTCCAATGATGCATTTCATCCAAAATTATCTGAGAACACCCTACATTTGGCTTCGGATACTACAAAATTCTCCCATACTTTTATTGACACGTAATTTATATAAATAGTTTATAATTCATATATAAAAAGGTATAGATGATTCATGAATATTTTTTTTAATAATCGAAAACTTTACAAGAAGGGTGGAGCCAACACATGTAAGTCTATACTTTTAACTATGTGGGTCTATAGGGCCCCCAAAAAAAGGAAAAAAAAATTCAATTGGCCTCTAACCAAACAAGTTTCCGTTTCTTGTTTTTTTTAACTATTTATATTCCTTTTTCGTTACTTTCATTCCTTTTGGTTTACTTTTTGAGTTTTTATTTTCTTGTTTTTGGTGATTTTCTTTCTCCTTGGCTCTCACACTTTTTTGGCCATTCTCTATTTGTATCTCTGTTCATGGGGGGAGCCAAGGGGGCTGGCGGGGCCATGCCCCCCTTAGATTTTTGAATTTTTTTTTATTAATATAAGCTTATATATATATATATATATATATATATATATGCATGTAAGTTTATACTTTTAACTATGTAGATCTATACTACCCCTAGAAAAAGAAAAAAAAAAAATTCAATTAGCCTCTAACCAAACACGTTTTTCGTTTATTTTGGTCTGTTGGTCCCAATGTTTTTAACTTTTTATTTTCCTTTTTCATAACTTCCGTTTCTTTTGGTCCACTTTTGAGTTTTTATTTTCTTGTTTTTGGTGATTTTCTCTCTCCTTGGCTCTCACACTTTGTTAGTCATTCTCTATTTGTATCTCTCGGGTTTTCTTTCATTTTTGTTCTTCTGATCTAGAATTGTGAGCACAGTCCGGCATGAGGATTTATGATTTTGAGCACAATCCAATATGAGATTATATATATTAATTTTTACCCTTTCATTTGTTTTTCGTTCCAGATCTATCGATTTTGTGATTATTTTGCCTTTTATTTTCAGATCAATAAACATGAGCACTGCATTGCACCGGATTGAGGCATGATGTTTATCTCCATTATCAGTATTTCAATTTTCGATATTAATTTCTTAAAATATATATATTAATTTTACTTTTTCATTTTGTTTTTTGTGTTTCCATATATAGATTTTGAGTAGGTTTTTATTTTTTATTTTTTTTCGGATCTATCATTTTGAGTTTAACAAAAACGAGCAGTGAATCTCAAGAATCACACTGGACTAAGATATTCCGAATAATGTTTCTCTTCGTTTTTCAGTCTATCAAACTTCATCATTAATTTCCTAAAAAATAAATTAGTTTCCACTCTTTTAATTTCTTTTTCATTTTTATATGTATCAATTTTCAGTTTGTGTTTGTATAAAATGGTGAAAGTTAATAATAAAATAAAAAAATTATAAAGGTAAAGTCATCTATAATGGAATGAATCAAATACCGAAGAATTAAAAATTGGTGGGGGTGGACTCCATGAAAGGAAAGTACACCACTGAACTAAATACTAACAAAAAAAAAAAAAACCCACTACATTGAAAGAAAAGAAACAAAGGGGTTCACCACTAAAGTGAGTTCTTATCACACATGCAATTGCGTTTATTAGAAAAGTTTAATAAATATAAAAAATATGAATAGTAAATTATTTTTAGTGTAAATTAATCTTATAAGATTCTTCTTATAAGTCCCCCGCCCCTCCCACCTAGGGATGGCAACGGGGCGGGTTTGGAGCAGGTTCCCCTAAATCCCGCCCCGCCCCTTTTAATTTTCGTCAAGTCCATACCCGCCTCGAGATCCGCGACGGGTTGGATTTTCATATCCAACCCCGTCCCGTTAGGAAATACTCTGCCCCCGTGCCCGCCCCACTAACAAATTTTTTTCTCCCACTTTTTGGAACTTAAACTCCTACTATTTAAATGTGCAAAGCCTAGGAATGACACAACATAAATAAAATTATGTATCCTAATAAAAATAAAAAAAATAACATACACATAACATAATTCAGAGAATATAATAAACAAAAATAAAAGTTTAATACAACTAAATCACAAAAAGTTTTAAGCTCCAACTTCCACCATAACCAAAACAAAAGCAAATTTAATACCAAGTTTACATCCCAAATTAGGATTGTAAGAGATGGGTAATTGGGTAAGCCGCTAAAATAACTTATTAATATATATATATATATATATATATATATATATATATATAGTTATATGCGGGGCGGGGCCCCTAGGATATGTATATTGAACCCTTACCCGCCCCGTGACCCTCGACGGGTACAAAATTTGTATCCATATCCGCCCCAACGGTATAACAAGTGTTCCCATATCCGTTATTAAAGGGGCGGGACGGGGCGGGGCCCTGGCGGGGCAGTAAAAATTGACATCCTTACTCCCACCCACGGAATTCTGACTTCGCCCTGTTTACGAGGTTTCAAGACGTTTGGCATTACTAAATCTAGATTTCAACCCTAACTTGAATTCTCCACTAACTAGAGAGTAATACTCACTTAACCTAATTTTTTATGGGAGTCTCCATTACCACTGAAAATTGAAGACTCGAGTTTAATACGAGTGAGTACATGAGTGTGTTTTTCTAAATTTTAAAAAATAA